GGGAAAGATGACACTAAAATCTCAGAAAACACACAGAAGCCTGAAAGTGATTTTCAGTATCACTTCTTTCTGAAAAATAGAATGAGCGGAATGTTAATTCATTAGAAAAAATGATCTGCTCTTTCCACAGAAATTCTGGAGGTTTATTCTTAGAAAAAACCTTCCAGTCAATTCCCTCTCTGGTGTGTCTTTTGCTGTGCTAGGCCTTGGAGATTCATCATATCCAAAGTAAGAATAACAAAATGGCCTTATGTGACATGTTGGATTTCAGTGCCACCTAAGTATATTTTCTTTTTGATTTTAGGAAATTAGAAATTAAACTAAGTCATAAAAAATAAAAACAAGAACTTTTTTTGATGTGCTTTTTTGAAAGTCATTAGCCTACAGTAGGTGATAAAAAAATAAGTGCCAAATATTGTTCAATGTATGTTATCCATGAGGTAATTAGTACCAGTGATATATACTTTAAACATCTTATCACAAGTATTGTTGGCATTAGTGGGCTACCTGTGGGTCATGTAGCAGCTCTCGTAAGGTCTCACATGAATGGTTTGATACCCTTTAAGGGCAATAGAACAAACAACAGAACCAATGCCCTTAACCCTAAAACAAAAACAGCTACTACAATAATAAAACAATAGATTGAAGCTTATGAGAGCTGCTACACTTCAGGTAGCTGTAGCTATTGAACGTGAAAGATGATTATTGATATTCACATTTAAAAGTTTATTTTGTGTGTATCTCTGTACATGTGACACTACAAATCAACCAAGATAGATCTTTCACCATCAACTGTATTCACCTTTCCCTTTGTCTTCACCATCACCTGACCTCCTCATGATCATACTGGTAAGGCCTAGACACTCTGCTGCCAACTAGCTTTTCCATTTACTGTCAGTGATGTACATGTCATTCCAGGTCCTCCATCCAGCTCTTTCCCTCTTCTACTTTGCCTCCTTCTCCTTGCTCTCTCGAGTCTGCCCTGGCCTCTATGCCCTTCTGGTGTCCATGTTCAGTCCTTGAGCATCCTCTTTACTTTGACCCAAGTACATTGTACTTTGATAAATTAATGGTGAATTTTTAAGCTCGGTAATGAAATGTGAAGGTGAATTAATCAACATGACACGAGNTTTCCATTTTCCTTGATATTCTGGGTGTCATATCTTGCAGACTGTGTGTTGTTCTTCGGCTGTAGGAACAGCAAGAAAGATTTCTTTTTCCGAGAGCAGTGGGATCCTCTTGTTGAAAATGGCAGTTTAAAGCTATTTACTGCTTTTTCAAGAGACCAGGTACATATCACACTTGTTTACTGCCTTTTCAGGAGATCAGGAACATATCACACCTGAGTATCGATAACGACGTTTATTTGGAGTAGGACAGGGTTGTTGTTCAAATTGGTGCTCGCGATCTTTTGTAATGTTTTGAATGGCGCATCATTTCTATTTGTGTAGGTGTGATTGATGCTTCTTAGACAGTAACTGTTTTTCTTTTTGACAACAGGAAGATAAGATCTACGTTCAACATAGATTATTGGAGAACAGCTCTCTTATCTGGAATCTTCTGGCTCACAAACAAGGATGGTTTTATATCGCAGGGTATGAAGACTGGTCACGATCGCACAGTGTCACCATAGCCTGCTTAGCTGCCGTTTCCTTCTCAAGTGCTCGAGAGGTGAACGAAAAACTTGGGAAGCACGCAATGGCTTAGGGCGCGCAAGTGACGAAGAAAAAAAATAGCACCAGGGCGCCACTTCCCCTGCCTATTGTTTGCCATTTTATACATTAAACCTCTCTGTACCTTTCAAGCTTTTCGTTCACCTCTCGCGCACTTGGGTAGGAAGCATTTGCTGCGTAGGCTAAGTATCATACAGTATCATCATTGATATAAGTGTTCTTGTAATCAGTCCTTTTACAAAGCAGAATTGTATTTCCATTTCGTATTTTGTCAGCGTTTTATGTGGTGAGGAAAGATCTTTCCAAAGCAACCACACATATCATGCCACTGAGGTGTAATCTAGAATTTCTTTGAAAGGGAGGTTATAGTGAAGGAATGTTTGTTATTTTTTGTCGCGAGTTATGTTAAAAATCTTTTTGTGTTTTTTTCCTCTGTTTATTTTAATGTTTTTTGTAGAAATTCGCAAAGAATGCCTACTGATGTTACTGAAGCTCTACTTGAAATATTCATGAAAGAAGGAGAAATGGACAGAAACAAAGCGGACGAACTTCTTAAAACGTTAGAAAGTACAAGACATTTTCAGAGCGAAACTTGGTCATGACAGACACATAGATGATAAGATAATAAAGATGGTCTGTCGCCCGTCACACGACAACCTCACCTGATTGTGAACCCAAGGTGACGTACAGAGCAGGACAGGTCCTAATCCAGAGCGTCGCATTGAAAAATTTAGGGCAAAAAGTATCAATACTTTCGCTCTCCATCTGGAGCTCTCTCAAGAGGAGACTGAAACTGAATAATTTATTAGCTGTAAAGCACTGAATAAATTAGCTCCTTCAGGGGTCTATAAGTTATTATGGACTTCTGACTCAATAAAGATGCCCGATGTTTATTACTTGTTGTTTTCATTTTCGATAACATTTTTTTCACACAGGGGATGTGTCCTCGGGACTTTTTACAAGAAGTCAATTTCATATAAAACCCTGTAGGATAACTCTGCATATTTCGGTCTTGTTGTCATTGAAACTGGAAGACAAACGGAAACATGGTTGACTTTCCCGGTTTTATTGGATACGTGTATAAAGTGGGGACAATATCTTATTTCTATGTGACGACCGAAGTCAATGTTCATATTTGAAAATTTGCTCTCAAAAGCTTGAACAGCAATCGGTAAATTAACCCTTGTAAGACCAGTTCACATTTATTATCGTGACGCCAGTAAAAGATCTATTTTTAGCGCGGGAATTTTCCCGCCAGCTTACATAACATCATCTGCCACATCCGGTGCATTTCGGAGAAAAGTGACAACATTGCTGTTATCGGCACTTTCCGAGAAGCAGCGACGAGTTGAGTGTTTCGCGTTGACAGTATTCGCGAAATAACGTTTATCAGGCAGGTACTAAAGCGCTATCAAGGATGCGCTAATGAATTGCAGAGAGGATGCAGTGCCCTAGCTGTGGGAACACAGACTTGCTTCCTAAGTTTAAGTGTTGTCCAGAATGCGGTTCTCCTCTTTCACATGCTCAAAATGTTCCGCGCAAGATTGAGCATGGTGAACACGGAGTCGAAACAACACTACTGCAGCAAAGTGCTGCATCGACAAGTAATTACGGTGATCTTGGACTAGATAACAGATCAATTCAAGGTAAATTTAATATGAACTTACTTGGATTATATTATTCATGGCTGTGAAGAATTAGATATTTCATAAAGGCTGAATTAACTCCCAAATGGTCCAAGTGGGATTCGATTTAATTTCTCTGATTTCCCTTAATCCAAAGGTAGCTAATCTTTCTAATTCTTCCGATTCATCGAACGAACGTGTCTATTAAGTCGCTTTAAACGGTCTTCATAATTCAGCATTAAAGGTTAGATGCGAGCTTGGCGCCCGCATTATTAATTAGCTGAATGTTTTGTTCAGCCGGTAAAGCTTTAACTGGACGCTTATTTCACGGATTAACGTTTATTGTCATCGTATTTTAATATAAACAGAGATCGAACATGGTCATGTTGCCGTATTCTTAATGTTATTACCAGGGCTTTGAAAATTAGATAATTTTAAAGTGAAGAACCAAGTACTATTTCCTTATCCGTGATATCAGGACCCTCCTACATGTCATACCATACAAGGCATTGTGTCGTCATGATATAGAAATAATGATATGCGGAAATAGAGATTGGCAGGATATAACGTGACTGGAAGAGTTGTGATCACTACATACATATAGTTAATGAGTCTAGCTACAAAAACACTATGAACATTGAGACTTTTTAACTTTGAAGCTTGCGTATTGTGGTCTGTATTTTTTGTCCACAAAAATGTGTGAAATGGAGCCTTTAGGGCAGGGACTCTTTGTAATTATTGGTACTGGTGAGTATGCTCATTGTGCTGTTTAGGGATAACAAATAGAGGTTTTTGCTAAAAGGAGGCCCACAGCATATCCCCTGGGGGGACTCCCATGTAAAAAGGACGGGGTGCTCGTCAGAAATTTTGAAAAAAAAAGAAAACCTAAGAGGTACCAAGATCATGTTTTGTGGGCAGGGCATGAGATCTTTTTTCTTTCCTAAGAGGTACTAATTCTAGCATAGGACATTACCTCCTGTCATAACTTTTTGAACTCAATACCCTAAAAGGTACCGCGAAAGCTCCTGCTGTGGACCCTTTGAGGCCGAACACCCTAAGAGGTACCAAAACCGCTTTTAACCCCTAAAAGGTGTGATGAGCCTCCGGTTGTCCTTTTTATATGGGAGTGCCTCCCCCTCCCCTCGGGTCACAGCCCAGTTCACCGGCCCTATCCCATGTCGGATTTTTCCCTTAGTTTTAACCAGTGGTGCAGTCAGTTTTGATTGCAGACCAACCTTACTCCTTAAACCAAGTATTTATCTGTAAACTAACCCCAAATGTACATGTTCTGGCCAAAACAGTTATCTTTTAAGGTGACCGAATACAGTTTTCGCGCGCACTTTTGCTGATGCAATTCAGTGCACGCACAAGAATTGCACAAAACAAACATGCCGTCAACAGAGAGATCATTTTATTTACTCAACACCTGCAGTATCTGTGCTATTTTTCTCTAATTGAACGCAGTGTATTGATGGCTTTAGTCTTTTATTACAAAGATATGTCAGAAAAGGTAAGGATGCAAAGAACCCAGCAATTCTCAGCTTTTTCTTTCTTACCAAAAGAGCCCAGTTAAATGCAACGCATGCGTAGTAAGTAAAAAAATTGCGATTGAATGAAAAATTGCACTCTCGGAAATACGCCTATTTCTCAAGAACCACTCAGTAGAATTTCACGAAATTTGGCATGAAAGTACTTGAGGAAATAAGTAACTGGAGTATTAAAAATAATTGAACTTTAACAAAGGAAATTCTAGATATTCCAGTGAACCTTCAGCAAGGGATAATTAAAGATCTCTTTGTTAAATTATTAGCAAGATGGTGTTAACTTGTGAGAATCATTACAAGTTTGTTGCATGCAAATTATAAAGAAAATCTAATGACTAGATTTTCTGCAAATAAACAAAACCAATTTCAAAGGCGCGTTTATATTTATTCATGTTGCCATGGCAACGGCGCATACGTCAGCTTAACCATCAAAAAACCAAAGTTTGAGTTAACTTGCTGTTATTTTTGACTACCGAGGGATCAAGGGTTTTAGAGAAAAAGGTGAATGAAACATAGGTATCAAAAACTGTGTTCAGCCACCTTAAGATCAATCAATCAATCAATCAATCTTTATTTGTACTCATTCTTGCTAAAGAAAAAATTACAATTTCAATGAAGATATTAAAAGTAATAATTTGACTACTAGCTGCCTGGATTAACCATAGGGGCTAGCGGAGCCAGGCAGCCAGTTAACATCAGCATTAAATAGAAATAAAATCCAGGTCACCAAGAAAACTTGAGCCCAAATGAACACACAAGAAGAATAAAAAAGAAGAGGAAAAATGCTATTTCTATGCTATGAAGGAAGTCTAAAATAGTTTAAATTATATATGAATACAAAACATTAATATAAGAAGAGCACACAGTAGCTATGGCAACTAATAACAGCTATATATTAAACTATNGCTATGAAGGAAGTCTAAAATAGTTTAAATTATATATGAATACAAAACATTAATATAAGAAGAGCACACAGTAGCTATGGCAACTAATAACAGCTATATATTAAACTATAAAAGAAAGACTTGGAAAGGTGACAGAAATGAACAAAATACTAATTGACAGGTAAATTGGGAAACAATGCAACTGCTAATAAGAACCTAAGTAACTAATAATCTTTGACTAGATTACTTTTTACTGATTTCTTGAAGTTTGAAATAGACAAGGTTTTCAAATTTTCGCTAATTGAGTTCCATACTTTGGGGCCCTGAAATCTTATGTTGAATATTCCATAATTTGTTCTTACTTTAGGTTATGTATAGAACATATTTGAAGCACTTCTTGTATTATAATTATGTATTTTATTGACTTGAGTGAAGAATAGGATAATTTAGTTTTAGGCTAACATAAGGGTAAAGGTTAAGCCTGCATTCCAGCCCAGTGGCCAGGGCAGCGCTTATCTCTGGTTTCTGTAGCACGAAGCAGGGGTAGATTTAGAGGGGGAGGAGGGTGGATTGGGTGGCTGGCCACCCCCATTTTGGACCCTAACCTTAACCCTTAACCCAAAACATTAAAAATGCGAAAAAGGTTGTGCATATTATGGCAGAAATAATGGCAAACTCTCTGGACAGGTACCTCACTTTAATTTCTACTCTGTGGCATTGCTAGTATTTCTAGTGATACAGTTTTCAATTAGGTTCGGTTCCAATTCTCAAATTCAACATTTTCGGGCAATGTGTCCCGTTGGTTCTGCAACCCCAAGGTACTAGCCACCCCACCCCCCAGACCCCCTGTTTTGAAAATCCTAGATCGGCACCAGGTGAAGTAGACTATGAGTAGTACCCCTTTCACCTAGTTCGTCATGTATGACGCGAAAGAAATCCTGGGGCAAAAATATGGATTTCATGTGGCCATTTTTTCCTCGTGGTTTATTTACCATGACCCTCAATGGAGTAAGTGAAAGAGGGAATACTCTTAGTCACTTCCTCCCCCATGGATGGGATGCTAGTCCATCACAGTTTTACCCCCAGCATTAAATTCACTGGTACTCATTTATACAAGTGGGTGAAGACGGGCACTGTGAGAGTAAACACAATGACCCCAACCAGGGCTCAGACTTGGGTTGCATAATCCATTGTGTCCTCCTATTATTAGGGTTAGTCTGCATTTAGTATTGATCACATGGCTACTCACAAAATCTGGGAAAATCTAGACTGAACTTCCTGGTGATGGGATGAAGTGGTACGCATGCCGCTGAGCCACTTTCCTACGGCTGGTGGCATGCTGTTATTAAGAGCCTGGTGAACTTATGGGTGTTTAAATTATTTAATTTTACTAGTAGGGGAGTTCTCAAGGGTTCCATTTTCAAATAACCCCAAAGCCCTTTTCATGGCTATTTTTAGTGCAAGTAAGAGAAATTACTCACGATAATGAAATGGGTTGTTAAATATAGATATAGTTCAGTTAGTTGACTTTTATAGTAGGCAAATGCAGACCTCTCAAGGCTCATGGCTTTTGGGAATCTTTGTTTTCAGCAAGATCTCCAACCTCCAAGTTATTACTCTCCGCTCCCCCCTCTAAGTCCACCAGTGGGGGTTGGGAAGAAGAGCAAGCTTGGAAACACACGTTCTTCCATTCTTTTCATTTGTCAGGTTCTCTTGATATCTCCGTGGTGTTATTTATGCAGCTGATGTTTTGTGATGTCAGTCAAGGTCATCTCTGTTTTGATCTAGCTAGGGATAATAAACTCACCAATGATGCTATAAACTAAAGATTTTTAATCGGCAAAGGCTGGCGATGCACAAGCTTACAGAAATTATGAATTGAGATTACCGAGCACATAGAATTAAACTATTCTTATTGGCATTCGAAATCAGGTCGTGAGAAATATGAATAGAAGTTCATTATCTTATTCCTATGAGCTCATTCATGCTGTGTTTATAAGCAGAAAACAATAAAAAACGTTAAATTTGTATTTTGGTATATAGATGCACCGGTACAAGGGCAGACCGTTGAAATAGCAAGTGCAGTGGAACAATGGAACGGTGACGAATCGAAACCGAAACCGGAAAACCGTAAAGTTCGGGGTTTTGTACGGAAAATCGCTAAAACTCCGCGAAAAGGTCGCCTGAAAAATGATCCAAAACCGTTAATTCAAGCCTTTGTACTGAAAATGATTTAGTTCTGTATAAAAAGAAGTCTAGGAACTTCAAGTGGAGACAGTTCCTGTAAGCGACTTTGATTTCATGGATCACCTAAAAAATTCAGGCAATGTTTTCGGAAAACGCGTCTGTACGGGCTGGGCACTGTTGGGGCTTAGCACCGACTCCCCACTTTGCAAGAACTCAGAAGTAGCAGTTTACAAGCACAATTTTATGAGTGACTTAGAGTTACTTCATCGATAAATCAGGACAATGGTAAACAATTCAACCATCCACGCCTGAAACTGGCGCGCAGAGGCCGGTGCGTATAGACGGCAAATTGCCGATGGTTAAGGTGGGGATTTTGTGCTTAGCTGAAGTAATGTACTTCATGCTATTTTCTTAATATTAGAAGTCTTCATAACAAACTTTTCGCCGCTGAAAACTTTGCTGATTGCGTTGAGATTGGTTTTCTGTAGTCTATCTTCGAGATCTTTACGACAACGACCCCTTAAATCTCTGCATAATTGTTAAATGAAGATTACGGCCACAATTGCTGATTTTTCCGTCAATCCTAACGATTGCAGTGATCATAGCTAGCGATAACATGGAACTATAGCCCTGAGATTCAGACTGTAACGAGAGTCGCTCAATGAGATCATCCTTGCGTCTGTCAGAAGTTAATCAAAACCCGAGAATTACCCCATATTTATCGATGTATTGACACTCCACGAAGCTATGTGGTTGATGCCCAACACAATTATATCACTTTGGTCTAGTTTCCAGTGTAAGACTAATGCTTGTGTGATGTTATTTCAATAAGGCGAAAACCAGCAGCAGAATGTTCTAACTGAAGAAAGAAAACAACCAGATTCCCCAACTGGCCCACATTCCGGACCAGTAACGCAGTGTAACACAACTGGTTCACATCCCAGACCAGCACCACAGTCTAATACAATTGACCCATATCCCGGTCCGGCCCCAGAGCCTAACACAACTGGCTCACATCCCGGACTTGTACCACAGTCTAACATTACTGACCCATATCCCGGACCAGTGCCACAGCCCGACACAACTGGCTCACATCCTGGACTGGTACAACAGGTACATCAGTCTAACACAACTGGTCCACATCCGGGACTTGTACCGCAGTCAAACACAACTGGCCCACATCCCGGACCGGTACAACAGTCTAACACAACTGGTCCACATCCGGGACTTGTACCGCAGTCAAACACAACTGGCCCACATCCGGGACCGGTACAACAGTCTAACACAACTGGTCCACATCCGGGACTTGTACTGCAGTCAAACACAACTGGCCCACATCCGGGACCGGTACAACAGTCTAACATAACTGGTCCACATCTCGGACTTAAACCACATTCAAACACAACTGGCTCACATCCGGGACCGTTACAACAGTCTAACACAACTGGTCCACATCCGGGACTTGTACCGCAGTCAAACACAACTGGCTCATATCCGGGACCGGTACAACAGTCTAACACAACTGGTCCACATCCGGGACTTGTACCGCAGTCAAACACAACTGGCTCATATCCGGGACCGGTACAACAGTCTAACACAACTGGTCCACATCCGGGACTTGTACCGCAGTCAAACACAACTGGCCCACATCCCGGACCGGTACAACAGTCTAACACAAACGGTCTACATCCGGGACTTTCACTGCAGTCAAACACAACTGGCCCACATCCTGGACCGGTACAACAATCTAACACGACTGGTCCACATCCGGGACTTGTACCGCAGTCAAACACAACTGGCCCACATCCCGGACCGGTACAACAGTCAAATACAACTGACCCACATCCTGGACCTGTATCACAGTCGTACACAACTAGCCCATATCCTGGATCTATACCACAGTCTAACGTANACTGGTCCACATCCGGGACTTGTACCGCAGTCAAACACAACTGGCCCACATCCCGGACCGGTACAACAGTCAAATACAACTGACCCACATCCTGGACCTGTATCACAGTCGTACACAACTAGCCCATATCCTGGATCTATACCACAGTCTAACGTAACTGACCCATATCACGGACCTAGACCAGAGTCTACCACAACTGGCCCACATCACGGACTTTTATCACAGCCTGACAAGAACTACGGTTCTGTTACTGTACATGCTCGACACGATGAAACGCCAAATGAGGAAAGAACTTGCTTATCGGAAAACGAGCAGCGTCCGGAATGTGCTCCCTCTACACCATCTGATCCCACCCACAGCGGAGCTGTTGACTCGAAAGGGACAGTTGAGGCAGGTACTATTAGTGGTCCGGAAACGCCAACTGAAGAAAGAGCTCAATCAGCGATAAACAATCGGCACCCAGAATGCACTCCGTCCTCCTTGTCTCATCAAGGTCCTGAAAATGCTGCTGAATTCAAAGGAGCAGCTCTGCCAAATACAGCCAATGAAACTACTGGAGGCCAGAAAGATTTGTCTGATGCAGTATCAAGTACCACTCCCCCCTTAGAAGGACAGAGAGAGCCTATTGTCAACCAGGACCTTAATGGGGGTAACACAACAAGTGATACTGTTGTGGTGGATGCTGAAGCAGTAAGAGACCCTGCCGTTCTTGAGGTAAGCGAGTCTCCTAATCCTCCCGAAGTAGGGGATATGTATAGTGCGGGGCAAGAAACAACGTCTCGGGAATTATCAGAGAAGGAGAGAAATGCAAGTGAATGCGCCTCGAGAACAACAATGGCATCTACAGAACCGCAACAAAAAACACCGGAGACTCAAGTTCGTTTAGGTTCAAGCTCTGAAATCAAGGATAGCAAAACAGATACTCAAGTAAGTAATATAACACGAATAAGTGAAAAACACCCAAGTTGCCACTTCTGCCTTTTCAGATTCTTCCGTGTGAACAGAGTGAAGGCTGCGCAGGTGCATTATCTTTGTATACCACTAAATGATGGGTGAGCTCGAATATTGTCATATTCGCCGAATGTTGCCAGTCCGGTCGTGACTGATTATGAGGTCTGTTGTCCAAACAAATATTTCCAAAATCGTTTGTGACATGTAAAGAAGTCACTCGATTTAGCGACCTCTTTTCAATAATCGCCCTTCGCATGAAACGAATGGTTCGTTTTGTTAGTGTTGAGTTAATTCAAATCCGTTAGAGCAGACGTAATTAAGTTCCGTGTTTGTTAGCGCCCGGACGATAAGTCGACTGCTGGACCTGTAAGGTAGTCTTAATACCTAGTCAGCAATGCAACTCTGCACCGTGTTACTGATCGATATACTCTGTTTTTGTTGTATATACAATTCACGTGTAGGATTTGGGTAAACAATCAAGTGGTCCAGTCACTAGACAGGCTGCAAACAGAGGAAACCAGAATCAGTCCAATGCTTCACCATCATCTGCATCTGGACGAAAGGCCGAAACTGTGTCAGAACATTCTCTAGGCAGTGCCGTAAATAATGACGGTGATAAAGCAAGTAAAGAGGTAACGACAGTTCAAGTGTCATTCTGGGGCGGATCCAGGATTTTGTGAAGGGGGATTCGGAGAATTTTCCCCTTCTAAGGGGTCTGAGGCTTAACCCCCCGTTCCCCGAGACTTATTTAGGCTCTCGGAAGCGTAATTTCCAGCGTTTCAAGGGATGATTGCTGGTTGTTTAATGTCTTTGAAATCATCTCTGTTTTAAACTATTTAAACAAAACCTCCTTTTCTATCGCTTAAATAAATTTCCTTCCTTCACTGATCACTTCAAAGGAATATCAAGGTGTTCGAAAAAATCCTCGCGATTTTACGGGCGTTAAAACGTGAATTTTCCATGTTCAGGACTGCGCAATATAGTCTGTGGCCCTTTTCTCGAAGGTCCCGAAAAGTTTTCGCACCCGGAAAGCCATAGTAAAATCTCAAACCTTATGATTACAGAGCTGCTTTATTCACGTATTCTTAATATGAACAGAGGTTCTCTTCATACAAGAAGTTTCAGGCGTATGCACTTCTCCGTTTTTAGATACAGATAAACTAAAGATGTCTTTACGGGCCCGGAAAGTTTCCGGGGCTTTCGAGAAACGGGCCCTTGGGTCGGGACAATTCTTCTCGTCTACCCAGGAACCACGCTAAAAACGTCAAAAGACTTCGTACGGGCACCTTCTGACTTGTGGGAGATGACCTTCTTGCCCGAAAAAAATTACTCAATGCCCAAATGCGTGGTGTTGAAATCGGGATACAAACGCCCTTAAATTTCAGTGAAACAAAAACGTTCATAATTCTCACGCCTTTTGAAACTGTCATAACTCCAAAAATAGTTATTTTGAAGCCTTGCATACTTTAAATAAACTCGTTAGACTGCCGATTACAATGAAAAACCTATTAAAGAAAAAGCTATTTCTTCCTCGAATGGAAGGAATGGAATGGAAAACGGCTCTTCGGAGCAGTTCAAAATGGTTCTTTCAGAGCCACGACAAAAACAAAACACTTAGCCTTCGTTCGCACTGTTACGCTGATATTTGATATGAATTCGTCGATTTTGTGATAAGGAATAGACATTTATATATAACAAGCGAAATTGTAGCTTGGCATGTTTTGTTGTTATTAGGGTAGGAAGGATGCAGGTGGGACTTGGTATAGAAAGAGTGATACTCCAATTGAAGAAACATTAGGAGGTCAAAAAGGCAACAAGAAGAAAGGAGGAAAGGGGAAAAGTAATGCAGGGCATGAAGCCTCGACGTAAGTGAATAAAACCAACAAATGACCAAACAAACAAGCAAACGAAAAAGTAAAAATTTTAACCGTCCTCGTTCAGCTTGTTTGTTCCATAATTCGATAAGTAAACTCCGCCTAGCTCTCCTGTCAAGGTTTTCACTGTCACGCAATAAAAAAGTAAATCGAAAACCATTCAGTGGATAAAGTCAAGAAGTTGTGATCTTATAGGAAATAGATAGAGAAGACACTTCTCCAAGTTGTAGGTTTGTGCGTTATCCCAGACTGCAGATATTTGTCGAAATGTGTCGCAGGAATTTACAGAGCTCAGTATGGAGCCGCCATGTTGGTGCACATATGTGGTGTGTAAGTGCACCAATATGGCGGCCGGAAAATAGTGTAAACATCTGGAACTTACTTTGGCTATCTAAGCGACGGATTATCTGTACTGAACAAACAAACATTTACATAAGCACTTTTCCTAATGATATAACTTTTAAAAAAGCTAAAAATCGTGAGATAGATATATATTTTTCGACAAATGCGATTGCAGCTTTGTGTCACGCACCGCCATAACTCTGAAATTCAAAGTACGCTGGTTTTCAGACGAAGCACACTATTGAGCTGTAACATTGTAAACAGATATAAATTTACCCTCTCTTATACGTGATGGGGATAAAAACTTTGGTGGCTCTTTAGTTTTTGATTTTAGAAAATGACGACGTCACATGAAAACGATCTGATCAATGACATCAATTGGTAAACAATGAGTAATCGATGAGTAATCAGTTGATTAGTCATTGATTATTGGCGATGATCAAAGAGTAATCGATGAGTAATCGAAACCCAAAAATTTTGTGGCCTATCGATTACTCATCGATGACATCGATTACTCATTGATGTAATTGATTACTCATCAATGACCCAATGATTACTCATCGGCTATTATACTGCACACGAAAGACACTTTTCTTGCTTTCTTGTACCATTTTTTTTCGTTTGTGATTCTTTTATCTGTGTTAGANCTTTTACTCGATGACAAAATTCTTTCAGAAATCGAGGGCCACCGGCAGAGACTGGAGATGCAACAAAGGAAATTGAAGGAAGCCCAAGAGAAAGAAAAGAATGAAAAAATAGAACGTGTGAAACAGGGACCTGCCGAAAATATGACAATAGCGGTTCTAAAACAACTCTTAAAGGATAAAGGAATCGCGTTTAGCTCAAAGGCCAAAATATCGGAACCTGAACAACTATTCAATACTCAAGCTGGTTATGTAACTGCTTATGAGGGATGTTTCCCTAAGTCGAAGCAGTTTTACTTTGCTGACAAACACCCACAAAAAAAAATCGATAACCACGTAGTCGATTCTTGTCAGCGTACTTGTTAGTTTCATTTGCAGACTGGTTGGTTACTGTTCAGTTGTTTTGCCTGGAAAACATTACATTTTAAAACATCCTATAAGAGGGAAAATTTTGTTCGATTGATTCGAAGCCTTGGAAAGTGTTTTTGTTTTCATAAATTTGCTCTTAACATGTTTGCTAACAGTTTTTAACGCATTATTTTGCAGAACACAGCCACCTCCAAGTCTCCAACAGGTCAAACCAGAAGCTGGGGTGACTGTGGTATTTCACGTTTTGCTTTCTTCAAATTTTAAAACGACGGAGGAAAGTTTTTTTATTCGGGCACATGGTGTGGATTTGGGCGACTTTAGACAGAGTTGTGTTGATATGAGAACAGTGGAGTGAGTATCATTTACAGTCAAACCTTTCCTTACGGACGCCTCTCTATTACTGACACGGACACTCAGTAGTAGCTTTATGATTTCCGTATTTGAGAAATTCGACTGTGCTACACTTTTATGGACCAAAAAGAAAAATCTTAGTCTCAAGTGACACAATTTAAACTTCTTGTTTGAGGTGATAAAATTACATTCTCTTTTGATGAGATTGAGTGTCACGTTATCATCGCCCAAATGTTTCCAATTGGTCCATAAAAGTGATGCAGGCCATTAAATTGTAGGAAGAGCAAAACAAGCAATGTGTGGGAGGTTAAAATGGATATAATAAATGAAGCAGAAATGGCCTTGGGAGCGGAAGGATTTTGAAATATAGTGTTTTGACTAGTATGCTCTCAACATTGGCAAAATGTGCTAGGCAATGATGTCATTATTGCAACTCGGTGACATACAGCAGTTTGAGTTTGCGTACTAAGGCACAATCTCACCACTATAGAGGTTTTGCGCGGGAGCCATGTTGCATGGCAGGAACAATAGATTCTTTTTCCTATGGAAAAAGTGTTATTTCTAATGCAAAAAAATTTCATTGTTCCTGCCATGCAACATGGCTGCCGTGCAAAACCTCTCTTGTTACAAACTTCTCGATAAATTCCTACATAGCACATCCCCTTAGTTCTTATGTAGCTTTGTGTGACTCGAGTTTAACAATTGCAACTTTAAGGAAACTGCCTGGCAATAAAGAGCGCATTGGCGTCCTACTCTCTTTTCACTATCCTTTGTTTCTAAGAAATTGTACTAAAAGGACAACGCTTTTCAGTATTAATCATGTACATGTTTCGACAGTAACCTCTGTCATCGTAAGTTACAAAGAGAATGAATTTTAACGTACAAGTTAATACACAAGTTTTGTACAATAGGTATTACCTAGAATACGTACAAGTTAATACACAAGTTTTGTACAATAGGTATTACCTAGAATAACTTACATAACACGAAGAAAATACGTGAAATTGAAAACAAAAGAACAACAGGCAAATGCAGATAAAACGCGGAGAAAAATTAAAATGAAAGAGACAAATTAACATGATGAATTTGCTGATTTAAAGCAGGCTTCTCTTAATTGACGTACATAGCTTCTTTAATTTTACTTGAAACTTTGTAGCGGCAGAGTCCAAAATGGTGAAAGACTCCACAGAACTAGAGTTAAGGCATTCCTCTGAAGCCTGTAGATGTTTGAAAACGTGAAAACTTTTGTCTGAACACAAGTGCTCCCGTACATGTATGTGTGTGGCAAAATGACGATTGGTTTCGTCAATGTAGCTAGCATTTCAGTTAGCAACAAAAATTTGTAAACCACCCGCGAACAAAGCTCCCTTGGGATAGAGTCTTAAACACCGAATGTACTTCGAATTTTGAAGGAAGAAAACACAAGCTTAATATCTAGATTATTACAATAGTGGTCGACAAGCTGTCTATTCGTGTTTTGAACAACATTAGAGAAAGGGCCCATGTAAGGCAATTTGAAAAAATGTAGAGCAGTTTCCCTACTACCAATGGAGCTCCTGTGTGTGTCCAGTGAACTGCGTGCACCGTAAGACTTGCTTATGTACTGATTAACCACCTTCTTAATTAGTCTGGTGGGAAAACAATTCTTGTGTTTTAAGCTCTGTCCACTTAAGTTCTAATCAAGCCAATTTTGTTTATCTTTGGCGTGAAACTACAATAATTAGTCAAAAGACTAGTAAAGGTCTTTTTACAATAGACACTATTAATAGCTGGTGTAAAGTAATTATCGTCAATTAAGTTATGTTTCTCTTTTAAATGCAGAATTGATGAAAGCCAAGAGAAAGACAAACTGCCTCTTTTTCGTGGTCAGTTCACATTAAGTCTTGATCGGGCTCGTAAAGGCACTTTCTACAAGTACGTGGTGGTAAAAAAAGGAACGGTTCACTGGGAAGAGTTACCCGAGTTTCCACCAAAGTACAGCTGCGATGGTGTTGTCAACCGGTCTCTTAACATCCCAGGCAACTATATTGAACCGGGTGGTAAGTAAATTTATTTTTTTCTCAAGCATCTGAGCGGGCCGGAATCCTAAATCCTCGAATTTGATTGGCTAATCATAGGCACGTGACCGGTCCAGCTTTTTACGATACGGCCCACGGGCCGGATTTTTGCCCCGCAGCTTAGATTTCGCTCCTAAAAGTTAGCGGTAATCATCAATCTTTTGCCTTTTTTACACATCCAT